AACGAATACTCCCCTGATAAATATGAAGATAGTAGTGATTAGATGATGGTAGAAAACTGGCTTGACGTGGATGTAACTCGCTCAAGAGGCATCTTCGTGATCTAACTAGATGATCGATGACCTGTAATTATCAAAATTAAAGAAATTAAACATAGTTCCTAAATTAATATCATAGATAGAATAAACGAATAGAAAAAAATTGTTGGGTTGCCTCCCAATAAACGATTCTTTATAGTCTATTGCTCGACTATAGGATAGATGATCACGGGCACCTAAAGAAAGCTTTTGATGCCTTGTCCATCTTTCTTCTTTTGGCTTTAATCCACTTTTTATTTGATCTCCACACATCTTTCTTGCCATTTTCATAATAATAAGACTTCTCTATTTCATCCGACTCAATTTCAACTATGTAAATTTGGATATCTTCGTTGGGCTTAATTACAAAATCAATTTTTGGATAATCAATAAAGTCGGAAAAATGTGAGTTGATTTCCTCCTTATTGATCACCTCATCCTCGTTTACCTCAACTGTGATTAAATTTTCACTCATTTTTTGGTCTTCTTCATTTGTTGAACTCTCATCGAGTGGAATGAGTAAGTAGTGAGAGAAAGGACAGAGAGAGAGAGAGAGATTGAGTGAGTGAGTAGTGAGAGAAAATGAGATTGAAAATGAATTAGAGTTCATTTGAAATATTAGTATTATAATATTATTTAAATTAACAAAATGTCCAATTGATACTTATTTTTTATTAAATAAACTTCATACTTGAATTTTGAATTTTGAAGTTTAAGTACCTGATTTTATGTAATTTTCCCTTTTATTAATAGGCTATCAAGGTCGAAAAGTACATAAACATTATTATTATCCTTACGAGCACAAGAAAAGAAAAAAAAAACTATAATTCTTTCATTCTTGTTTCATATGTGGATTTTCATTGAAGGTTAGACAATTGAACAGTTGTGAATTACAGTTCGTGTTCGAGAATCAACAAAGGAGTTTGCAGAATTCATCAAATGTATTATTCTAAACACATTTTTTATCCATCAAAAAACAGATCCATGGTAAGAATTGAAAAATAATTTAATTTCGGATGTGCATGTTAAGTAAATGCCCCATCTTTCTTCATTACCAACAACACAGGCACAGCGCACAGACTCAAACTTTCACGAATGTGATCCTTAGCAAGCAAATCTTCAGAAGGACTAATGTTAGATAATGTGGCTTTTCAGAAATCTGGGACATGAGATTAAAACAATCTGGTGCAGTTATCTCACGAAGAGATGAAAGATCACTACGTAAATCTGCCAGAAAAACTTTCCAGAAAATTCATTCAAGAATGGGTGAAAAGATGCAAGCACGACGACGCTACCCCAATTATGGAAACCTCTTTGGACAAACGTTTATTCTATTTCCAAAAAATTGTTTAATTGGCATGTGTTGATTTATATTTTGTAGCTCGCACATACTGTTGTACGCTTGATGAAATTGTGCCTATAAAAGGTTATGAAATGTTCGGCATCATTGAAGAGGGCAGGCGGCTTAATGAGAAGATACTTTTTTGTATACTTCGATCTTATAGAAACTAGAACTCGACAAGAACCAATTGGTTGATGAGAGACAGTAATGCCAATGGCTTGTGAGTAGGTGATGAAGTAGACATTGCAAGCTTTACAGAAACAACACAATTTTGAGGATTAAAGCAACGCGGTCAAAGTGGTAGAAACCATTAGCAACTTATATTTTGTGTACAACCAACATTAAAGATGCGACAGAAGCATAATAGATTAAACCAAGTACTTTCATTTGTCTCTGTACACAAGTACACAAGATGTATGAATGAATATTCAGAAGCACGGATCCTCTAACCCTCACTCTATGACAACAAAATCGGTAGTGAACAGCAAACTAAGGCAAAACTATACACTCGTGAAAGAATATTCTCCTACCAAGAAGCCTAATATTGTACAGGGCGTTTCCCATGAGGATCATATATGGGGCTCTTGAGACCCGACGAGCTAGCAGTGGCTGTGGCACTCTTTGTATTAATTGTAGAGCCAAAGGAACGAGAATTCGATCCACCAGAAGTTCCAGCTGTGGATGATGACGCAGTTGGTCTATGATGCCTGTATCTGGAACCGGGGCATCCAGGTCTTGTTGGTTCTTCGAGGGTGTTCGGGGTTGGCTTTCTTGATAGTATCAACACCACACGGCGCATGTCGGGCCGCAGTTGTGGGTCAGACTGGGTGCACAACAGCCCGAGTTTTATGCACATTATTATTTGATCAGGAACTGCTGATGACACCAGTGTAGGATCCATAATATCCAAGCTCTGACCCTTCTTGTAAAGTTTGTACGCCTGCAAAAACAGCAAATATTCTCAAGAATGGTTTTAATGTTTGATTAACATATACTGCTACCATATTTACCAAAAGTTGTTTATCTTTACAGTAATAGAACGTAAACGTTAGATTCTTCTCATTATGCTAAAGCAGAAGAACGCTATAGCTACTCTGTTTGAACTTTATAGCAATAAATTAGCATGGCCTCATTAGAACGAGTGCAGTCTCTCACTTTTTGTATACCCATTATGGCAAAAATACAGTATGCACCAAATAATTTCATTTACCACAAGCGATGTCAACTTTTGAAGCAGTTCCTATCTTGAAATAAAATTTCAAAGCACAAGTTCAAATCTCTCTCAAATTGTTCAAGAACAGATAAAATAAGAGTCAGACATGTCATGGACACACAGTCACTGACAACAGTTTAATTAATACAAGATGCTCGTAAAGCTCATTGTTTTAAGAAAAAGCTGACTCTCTACAAACATGGAATTCCAATTTCAAGCACTTCATCCTTAAAAAGTTTCAATTTTGCATGTGTGATATTTCTGATTCACTATTCAACACATTGATTCTTGAATTGAAGAGATTTAGAGTCTGCTCGTGATCATTTTTAGAACCAAAAAATAATAAAATAACAACAACAATATAGATGATAATGATAATATTAATAAGAAGAACGGATTTAGAACTATCTATAGGAGAACCATGTGGATAAATATTATTATTTTGTGAGACGTGAGTAATATGTTAGAAACTTGAAACAGGTTTAATGTTTAAAATGTTTCCAGCACTGTTATCATTCTTTCGGAGGCAAATGTAGAAACACCAGATATCTTTTTCCAGTCTCAATTACAGTTTACATTTTTACATTCAAAAGAAGGTTACAAATATTTTATAAAATCACGTCTTCTATTTTCAGGGCATGCCCCATACATTATAAAAACCAGAAAACAAGAAATAAAAGCAAACAAACGGACTTTTAAATTGTCATTAAAACTTTTCCCTAGTCAAGGAAAGCAATTAAACTGTTAAACCAGGCACTTCCCATTCGAAAATGCATTATCTTGGGAAAAACTTTAGTAATAATTAACTTCTCATTCAAAATCCAAGAAGCTCACAGGCCAAGAAAAATAAAGTTCTCACCCACGCAAGCAGGTTCTCAGACTCAGGATCTCGGTTAAATCTCGAATTCTTCTCTCCACTTATCAGCTCCAACACCACGACCCCAAAGCTGAATACATCTGCCTTCACCGAAAGACGGCCATGCATAAGATACTCTGGTGCCATGTAGCCACTGTTCCCAAATCAATGCACTATCATTAGTTAAGCAATTTGGCAGCTTGCAGTCAGATATTGTTATTAACATGGGGGGCTACTAAAGTTATAAATTTGAAGCGTATGAAAACGTACTTGGTACCAGCTACACGGGTGTTAACATGTGTGTTCTTTTCAGGATAGAGACGAGCCATGCCAAAATCAGCAATCTTGGGCACCCAGTTATCATCTAGTAGGATGTTGCTGCCTTTGATGTCACGGTGTATGATGCAACAGTGAGCATCTTCATGAAGGTAAACCAAGCCTTTTGCAACACCGGCTATCATATCATACCTTCGCTTCCAATCAAGTATTTCTCGTTTATCAGATTCTACAACAATGCCACAACTAGTATCAGGATCCCTTTTAATCTCATTTCCACGCTACATGCTGCTGTTAAAGAGTAATTAATACTTTTAGACCCCATAAATGAAATCCAGCTTTCCAATTTCCATTACTGTACACAAATAACAATAACATCTTGGAAAAGACTAAGGGAAGCACTTCTAAACCTAACTTGACAAGAGTTGCATAAGATGGAATACTTCATGGTGATATAGCACCAGTTACATTGTGGATGCATTTTAAGTGCTTCCAACCCACCCACAATGCAACACTCACACTATTCCCTCTCTCCTACACCAAGCAGTAAAACCGCTTTAGCTAAGTGACAAGTACCATTTGTATGGAAAGGTAACAACTGAATCAAAGTAATTGTAGGATATCATCATTTCTGCTGCACTTGCTTTCACTTTTTTTACGAACTCATTGTTTGATAGAGACCTCAAAACTACAGAAACAATTTAATAGAACTTTACCAAATGAGACCTCATAGAAGTTTTTGAGCAATTCTATAGATATTAAGTTCATGCAAGTACAATTACAGTTTACTCCTCAGTCTTGCCTTGAAAAGAATTTTTAAATGTTCCAGCAACTCAATAACGCTCTAAAGAAATCAAATCTGAAAATACAACAAATCTGAAAATACAACCTGAAAACATTATTGAATTGCTGTTGTTTGTTTTTCTTACTAAAAGATTATCTGTGATTTTAAGAATATCAAGAAACAAACTACCATAAAACAAATACATTTCATGTAGCATTTATTTCAACTTTCAAGAGTGAAATAAATATTACCTATAAGAGCATCTTCAAGACACTCTAAATACAAATTGATGTGTATTTTACATATTTCAATAATCTACTTTTTAAATTATTTAAATCATATTTGAACTAATTGATCTTTGGCATATAAAAACACATTAAATAAAGATTTGAAATCAATAATTGTTTCTTGGGAGAAAAAAAAAGAGTAAAAATAGATAGCATTGTTGGAGTGTATAAAAAATTATACAATCTAAATTTTAAGATGATCTCTATTATACATAAAATTTTCTGTATAAATATGGTATCTTGGAGATACTCTAAAGCACACATAAAGACTCAAGACATTGATATGACATGCTGACAAGTAATTTTTCAAAAACTAGGACACAAATAATTTGGCTCAATGGATTAAAATACTTGAAATGTGTATAAATTGAGTAGTGGTTATTTGTTACACTGAGGGTTTGTTTGATTGACTTTATTTTCCATGAAAAATGTCATTTTTCCATCCAAATTCCTAATTTTGTAGTATTTGATTGACATTTTTTTCATGGAAAATATTTTTCAAATGTTGGTCAGGTGATCATGTCTTCTGCAAAAACAAGAAAAATAGTTTCTTTATGAGGGGTGGTTTTTTATTTTCTAGGTAATTCACATTTCCCAAAAATTCAATTTTATGGAAAAAAAAAACAATATTTTCTAGGTTGACAATTAAGTTCATCAAACACATTTAATTGGCAAATATCACGAAAATATGTTCTAGGCAATTTCTTTCCATGCAATTTCCATTGGGTTGTACCTTGAATTACTTGTGCAGCAAATATAAATATTTATGTATCAAAAAATGCACATGACAGATATAAACAAAGTTAACATGAAGTTTGTACAATTTTTCTCACATTATTTTGACATTTTTCCACATGTAACAATTAAAATCTTCCCAAATTTTATATTCCAAAATTTAAAACATGGAGTATATCATGTCCTTCGCGTGTCATCATGACAAAAACTAAAAAAATACACAAAATATGGGACATGCCACATGGAGTTTAGGGCATGTATCGGAGGCATATTGGAATTTTAAAAATATATATAAAATTAGACACATCCTTTGCAGTGTCAGTAAGTTTCTAGTCATGTCCAAGATTTGTTCGGTTTATGATACGTGTCAGAATAATAGGCACTACTAACCTTATCTAAAACAGAGTGATTTTCGATTCAAAACTTCAGACTTCAGAAATTGATGGCTTTTAGCAAAATTAAGAAAAGCATACTTCATCAGCACCGGACAAGTCGAAGAAATGGTGCTATGACATTCTGTACTTAAACTTGTGCAAAGCAAAACTCAAGTCTGGAGTATAGTTATACATGAACAAAATCAATGAATTACAGGCATAACGCTGATCATAATAAGTCAAGTTCATAATTAATAATCCAATTCAGCAATTCCGAATCGCATTTTACTTACGTTGACCCTAACTGTCAATAAACGTTAACATCTCTTATCATAAAACAATTAAATGATACTAAGACCCTTATCTATTAACAAATTATTCAGTGATAGACTATTTCAAGTTAAATGACAACAAAACTCAATCGAGTTTCAGCTAATCATTAAAAATTATACAGTTTAATTGCTATGACCATGATAAGGATTATCTCAGGAACTGGAAAAAAATGCAAATCATATAAGCATTGCAGAACTTACTGAATAGAAGCTTGTCAATGCTCTCATTGACCACGTACTCATATACAAGCAGCTTCTCTGAACCATGCACGCAGTATCCGAGTAAATTCACTATATTTTTGTGTTGCACGCGTGCCAATAATTTCGCCTCATTCTGAAACTCTTTAATTCCCTGACCTGAGCTGTGTGATAACTTCTTTACAGCTATTTCTCTACCGTCATCTAATTTTCCCTATAAAATTCCAGATACCCATTATCCAAAATCAAGTTTTATTCAGATTTTTCACATAATTTCATCAATACGTGAGTTACTTACTCCTAACCAAAGTTCTATTGTTTTCGTTTATTAGGAAAAATTAAAAAGCCCACAAGTTAAATTTACCTTGTAAACAGGGCCAAAGCCTCCTTCCCCAAGCTTTTGCGTATGATGAAATTTTTTGGTTGCTGCAACAAGGGTCTCGAAAGGAAATTGCTTTTGTTCTTGTGCTGCAATTCTCTCCAAATCCTCTACATTTTCCCCTTTTTAATTGATCAGACAATAACATCCCACAAAGCCAATAAAAAAGCAAACCACAAGTAAATTAAAGATAAGATCAAGAAACAAAACAAGGGATAATACATACCCATAATTGAGAATTGTATGCACAAGAATTTTACCTTGATTCGTCCAACATTGGAATTTTTTGATGAATTTTTCCATGAAGCTTTTAGATTTAGTCATGGTAAATCCATCAAGAAATTACTTGATCAAAAAATCATGAATCTGGTGTATGTAATTCTCTTTCTTTCTCTTTGAATCGTAGGGATAATTCAATTTTGAGATAATTAAAAAGCGTCGAATTTTCTTGGCTGCCAAAACCGACAGCTTATATGGGCGTGTTGACTGCCTGTACTATTCTACATATTAGAGAATTAATCCCCGTGTACACACAGGGCTTACCCGGCACTCACATGTGGTGAGCCCCACCATGTATTAAAAAAAACAAAATAAATAAAATATTGCGTGGACTTTGCAAAGTTTTCTTTCCGTACGTGCTGTTCTATATTAGATTCTTGTTCCTGTATAGGATATTAGAATTAAGCTCCTTTGTCAGATGAAATTTGTCCACCCGGTTGACCTACTCTCACATTCGAGTGGGACCCGTGCCGACCCCACATGAATAAAAAATGCAAAAACATACCCCCCACCCACCCCTATTGTGTGTGTATGTCAACTAGGGTGTCAAAAAAATTCTGGCACCCTAGCTTGATTGAGGATATTAATATAGGGAAAATTGTAGTTATGGTACCAAATATTTTATTTTTATACAAATTTGATTCAATCCTTTAATTTATTATGGCAATCACGAGTCACGATACAAAACCTTTCAAAAACTCGCATCTGAAGTCCAATTTAATAGAAACCATTAATTACTCGTCAGTTGAGCAATAATAAAAATCTAACCAGATGTTGACTAATTTTTAAAGGGTGAAGGGGTAACTTCACATTTTTCATATAAAAAACTAAAATAAAATAATAATTAAAAAAACACTATTCACCCACCCCACCCTAGTATGCTCTGCCAAGTTGTGACTCACCAGGCCAGGCAAACAATGTTCCAACGCAAATTTCAGTACCTCCATTATCGATTTGCATTCTCCAATGAAAGGCTATATATTCCCCCCTGGATTTTGGAATTATGCTACACGAACATGGGGGATGATCGAACACACACTTCGGGGTCGGATAATATTTTATTCATGCGGGACTCACACGCAATGTGAGGATCGATCAACCGAGGTGTCAACCATTTTCGAGTAAAGTGACTTGACTCATGGATTTTGACATAGCGACCGTCATTTCTCCATTCTCATTTCCTTCCACATATCACTCCAATGTTGTAGAAACAATTTCCCTCCATCACAGCGTCAACAAAATTTTACTTTTTTCTCTAATGTAGAATAGAATAAAAATAAAAATAAAAAATTCTAATGCGTCTTCTTCTTAAATTTTAATTTTGTTTTAGTTTTTTCCAAAAAAAAAAAAAGTTAATTTTTTTCTATCTTTTTGTACAAAATGATTTCATTTTAATCATGCTCATTGTTAAAATCGATCCTCAATTCATAGAAATGAACAGATGTTGACCTAAAATATTAACTAAAAAAAATGAATTAAGGTTTAAACATTTGATTCCAACATTTTTACATGTTTGTGTCGTGATAATATTCCTAATTCTTCAATGGCGAAATCAACAGTTGTGTCAATCCACCTGCCGCTGCAATTTTTGAAAATGAGGAGGTATCACTGAAATTTTCGCAAAAAAGCATGTACCCTCTTGACCCATTTACTATTTTTTTTCCTAAAATGGTCTCAATTTAGTCAAATAAATTGTACGTAATAAAATAATTCAACACTCAATATGAACATTTGAATTTAGTATTCAACACCCCACTAGTACTTAGAATATCACTTTTCATAGAGAGAGGTCGACGTCCGTGGAGCTATAATATATTTTACTATCAATTTTGAAGTTTCTTAGCTCCAAATTTGGTGCTAATAAAATAATAACAAAGTGATACGTGCCAAACGTGTTTTCTAGAGTCAAAATGAGATAGAATTGTTAAAAATAAAAAAAATTAAAATGCTGTGGGGGTGATCGCACCCATCGCCCTCCGTGTCCCTCCGCTCATAGATAAAGATCCGCTCATGGACAAAGATATATGTATTTGATACAAAGTATTAAATAGTAAATACAGTTGAACAAATATAATTTTAAATTTGTTTATTTTAAGTATGTAATCGTCCGTTAGTATTTATTTATCGATATCATCATGAATAATTTGTATCTTTCAATTCTTAATGTGGCGCCGCCGGAATCTTATTGCTATAGAGAAGGTTAATTAGAAGAATATGTGAAGTAATTTACTGTTGTGTTGATTTTGAGAATATTTGTTAATGATGAGATAACTTCGTGTTGAGATTGAAGTGTTTTGTGTCCATGTGCAAGCTTCCTCTTAATTTTGTCTGCTTGTGCAGAAAAAATCTTACAGAAATTGAACAATAGTCACATGGGGTGGATCCCATATGAATTAAATATTGCAAAACGATTATGATTTGTTGTCCTTAAAGACAATAAAAAATTTAGTGGTTGGATGGGTCCAAAATGATTTTGCTCGAATAAAATAATAGAGGTTTCCAACTTCTGGTTCTGGTCTAGGTACCAAGTTGGTCCTAGTATTAGGTTTTGTCCATGTTCAAAAGTCAATTTTCAGATAAAATTAGGACTATACCACTAATTTGTGTTCAACTATTCGAAAGTCGATATTTTGTTACAAGGATGACTATACTATTACTTTTAGTCTTTTACTTCGAATAAAAAAGAACCATCTAACCTCTATCCTACTACATGGTGTAGAGGTGGCAAAAAACCAAAGGAGAGCATAGTTGGAAAGGGGAGCAAAACCATGGTTCTGGTAGGACAGTGCAGGACGGGACGAGTGGGAGATTCACATGCAAATTTATTTATTTTTTCTTTTATTTCTCTTTATATCTTCTATACCAACGTCTCTCTCAGAAGTCAAAATAATGTTTCACACGTCTTGCATCTAACATTTTAAAAAAGTGTTATGTGTACACAATAATTTACACAATCTTTTACACCCCTCTCACAAGGAGGGGGCCCACACACAATAAAATATTTGTGAGCCCCCCCTCCATGTGAGGGGGTGTAAAAGATTGTGTACACCACAAGGTGTACACATAGAATAATTCAACATTTTAACAGTAATGGACAGTTTATATTTGAATAATGATATTAATCAGCAATGTTGATCGATGTTAATGATCATCACCGCTGATAAATAACAGTACTCTTTATTCACTAGAGTGATGCTGCTTATCACCAATCTAAGTGTCAATTAAAAGCACACCTTTCGATTGTGACAATTTGTATTTTCTTTTATGATCATCAATTATGGAATGTGAACTTCATTGCTACCTAAATTCGTATTGAACATCACTTATGATAAATAGCACTATATTATTACTAAGGACCACTGCACAACTATATTGAAACATTGAAAACTGAAAAGTCCGGAATTAAAGGTTGGAGATATCTCTGTAAAAACTTGCTAGGTTGGAGACCTCCGTTGCAATTTTGTTTAAACAACAAATGAAATTTATGTGACTTGGTTTGATGGTTTCTAATCTTTTATCATTTGAAATTAGTCAATAACGTTGGGCATTTCAAAATTATATTAAACGTAGGATAGTTGTCCCCATTGTCATTAGTATGTCTAGTAGGATTGATTAGGTTGGATGCACAATGCTTAAGTGTGCAATTATGCCGGTAAGCGGCGCTCTTAGCTGTAAACTAATTGATTATTTAAGCTTCACATTTTTACTTTTAATTTCCTGCTTTTTTTTTAAGGTGCATACCTACCTAAAATGTTTGTTTATGCTTAAAGCAAAATCCATCGTGAAAGCAATCTTCTGCTTATTTTTAATTTTATGTACTCATTTTATGTACTTGTTCATGTACAAAAATGTGACTAATGCACTGAACAATCATTTTCAATACTGTGTACCAAAGATGTCGAACAAAATCATCTTTTTCCATAAAATAAACAAACCTTTAGATTATAATAAAAATATTACAAAAGATTGGCCTGGAAAAGGAACCCTTCTCTTCCTTGCCGACAAAAAAAGTTCAAAAGAATGTGAAAAAAAAAAAAAGAGCTGGATCATTCCTACATGCCTAACAAAATAATTCTATGAACCTGGCATTGGATCTTTCCATTTATTCAGGCAAGGTTTTTACTCCCAGAAACATACAAAGGACAATGTGGCTTCTTTTGCTCACTAGGCTACCAGCAAATACACATAAAATCATCACCCCACTTTCCTCAAAAGAAGGAGATGGACACAAACCCACAAAAAAAAAATGGGTTTTAACTAGGACAAAATGACCGTGAAACAAAAGACTAAAATTTAGCAGACCTCAGTTATCTGTCGAGATCAACACAAAATAAGACAATTTGCTGGTGCCTTCACATCCATTGAGGGTTGTGTCGACGTGCTCGACTCAACTAGTCCATAGCTTTGAATGAGCTTTCAAAATAGAGTCTGCAATGAACCATGACCAAAGACTTGACAATGTAATCTAAGTCATGCAATGCAATACAAGTGAACAACAAACAGAGTTTTGAATTTTTAAGGTTTTGTTGATTTACGAACAATCTTCTTTAGGCACAAGATATTCCAGCATAGTGTCATAGTGTATCACTGTCACTCAAATTTCTCACTCGAAGCTCAACATTACGTAGATTACGAAGATGTTGTAAAATCTCTTCAAGGAGATCCATTCCCTTGTCACCTTTCTTTAGGGAGCTAATGCAATGCTTTAGGAACTCTCTGTCTGCTTCGAGAGCTTGTAATCTTTCATAAAGATGATCGACCTCTTCTTCAATGGCATGCGTCTTGTTCTCTAATTCAAACTTTGTTTCATAAGAATTCTCGTTGCCATTGCATTCATATCCATTGCAGTTCCCATTCAGGATAAAGTCACAGTTTTCATCATTAATCGCATCAAAAAGTGGAAGAAGTGACTTCCCGGTTGAACCTAGGATTTTTCTCCTTGAATGATGTTTCCCCATCATTTCATTAGAAAAACCATTTGCATGCTCATTATCTTCACTAAAATGACCATTTTCATCCAAATGATTCCCATTCTCATCATGGGCATCTTCCATTGCTCTGACATCCTCGAACTTCTGTTCCTCTTCATCGTCCAATGTCATTAGCTTTTCTTCTAAAACCTTGAGCTCCTCTAGAATAGACAACCTCTCTTCCTCAAAATCTGCTAATGATTCTTCCAAGTTTAGAACTGCATCAACAGGAGTATCGTGGTTTCCGTATTCTTGGTGGCTATGGAAACTCTCTTCGTCTTTCACTTCTTGATTTAGATCGGCAGACAATCCATCACTATCCTCTAGATTGCTACAAGAAGCCGAGGAAAATCCACTTTGAGTACTTCCATCCTTACTTCTCTTCAGTATCCTCATCTTTTCTTTTGTTTCGCAATCAAGCACCTTTTTCCTGTACAACTCGAACTCTTTCTCGAGCTCTTGTTTTTCCTTCTCCCTCTTTAACATAAGTTCATTCAGAAGTTGCAGTGCTTCTTGATCATATTCGGACTGTTCCTCCATCATTCTCTGATACTGCAAAGCTTCCATTTGCATTGCTGCCTTCTCTTCTTGGAGTCGATTTATCATTGCCATCGTTTGATTTGCAGCCACTGCAGAAGCACTCCGTTCTTCTTCTAGCTCAGCATATAATGTCTGCAAAGCCTTTCGTTCAGCTCTCAGTGCCGATTTCAAGCTATCAATGGTAACAACTCCCTCGCTACCTTCCAACTCACTAGTGACACTTCCGTCCAAAGATTCTTCTGTTCCAGAATCCCTTTTCTCGAGCAACAACAATTTCTTGTGCAAATGATGAAGACTTTCTACAGAAGTAGGCGTATCAGGAACCTTGTCTTCTTCAATTTCATTCAGTTCCAAACTAAACGATGGTCGATTGTTCATCACGTGATCACTAACTGGAACTGATAAGGGAGGCAATTTTACCATCTGTTCCTGAAGCATAGCACCTAATAGACAACAAATTTCAATAGTTGACCAAATTGCAGTGATGGCAGGTTTGGTACATGATACTGAAAGACAAGAATCCAGAACATACCGTGATTATCTGCTTCACAAAAATTAGTGGAACTAATAGAAGGATCTCCATGCGTGCATTCATACGAAGGAATAGCTTCTTGATTTTGAATTTCATCTAATATATCTAAATCAGGAATTTCTGTTCCAATTGAGACTTCTGCTTCAGTTTCAGTTTCAGTTTCAGTTCCAGTTTCAGTTTCATTAATTGGAATTTGAGTAACTTCTTCAGAATCTATATAGTTCAAGCAGATAAAAATTAATATGCATTCAGCATATACTACAAGAAAACAAGAAAAAATTTAGTCAGAACAAGAAATAAATGTACCTGTAAGAATATCTGAATGCTCATTTTCCCCTTCTATTGCTGCCTTTGCTTCAATTTCGTCTACGTTTACATCTTTAAACGGAGTTTGGGATACATGAAAACTTGCATCATCCTTAAGCACATCCATCTGAAAATGACATTCTTTAGTGTCAAAAATTCGAGAACTTTCATCCTCTTCTATGTCCATGGAGTCGAGCAAACTAAATGCAGGTTCCTCATTTAAATCGAAATCAAGGTCTGCATCATCCTCTACTTGTACACTTCTGTTTCCAGCATCCAATTTAACATCAGAATTCAAAGTGTATTCTGCATTATCACTGAAACTGTAATCTTTAACATTGTCATTTTTATAATCTTCGCCTTTTACCGAATCAGTCAATTCGACTGAAACCAGTTTATGGCCACTATAATCCAGAAAAAATTCCAGATGCTGATTGGAAACTTCAAAAGAAGTATCTTCATCAACAAACACCCGAACAGACTTATCTTCCATGATTTTACTCGGGTTTTCTTCCACATTTTCGTTTTCTCCACCTCTTAATTCTTTCAACCCATTCATAGATACAGAGAAAGAATCATTTTCCTCTGAATCCTTAATTGTTACACTCAAACCTCTATCAACTTCAGAGAGAATCTGAGTTTCATTCTTGTTTTCCAATCCTTGTTCATCATAACATGAATCAATAGCAAAATCTGATAATTTTATATCATAGTCCCCAGGCTCTTTAATCGATTTTTCTTTGTGGGCAGATTCAAAAACATTCCAAGAAGGCTTGAGCAATATATAAGAAGAATTTATATCTTTATTATCTAAGACTACCCCACAACAAGAACAGTTCAAACTTACCTCACCATTTTCACCCATTTCTTCTTCATCACTCTGAATCATTCCCAATTTTTTCATCCATTCAAACAAATTAGCATTCTTCAGCACTCCCTGAAATTCTGATCTTGAGGACAAGCAATCCTCACACATATCTCTAGATTCAGCCAACTTCCGATGATTAGAACAGTAACCCAGTTTTGAAATCTCCTTGGAGTGGGCTTCACAGAGAAGATCTATGTGCATGTTCTTATTCACTCTTTGAGGCTCAAAAACATGATCAAGTCTAGTACACCAGAGGCAAGGGGGCTTCAGCCCAAAATACTCTGCAAATTTTGTAATCACATAAGAAAACATAGAATTTAAGAGGAGGAGGATCATCAAAATCCATTCAAGAACCGCATAGATTAGAATAAAAGTAATCTTGTTCGTGTTTCTGTGCAGCATGGTTGCAAATTTGTTTGCAGCCATTTCTTGATACTCTATGTTATGGCATGAACTGATGAAAATAATTTTTAGAAATTAGAAAATGAAAACAGAGGAGAATTAACAAATTCAGAAATGTTTAACACAGCACTCAATTGTAGAGAGAGAGGGGAGGAGATGAAAAACAGATTACGGAGAGGCTTTTTTAAGACAGAGAAAGCTCCATTTGAACAGACAGGCAGAGAAGACTTTAACAAAGAAAGAATCGAGTAATTGTAGGAAAACAATTATGAGAGCGTCGTGTGTTTCGAAATATTTGAAGTCATTTATTATTTAGCCAAGTTTGATAAAATTTTAATTTAAGTTAAAGGACAATAATTAATTTTAACTATACTTTTGAAATATAAACTTTTCAACCACATATTTCATCAACTTTTATCAAATTTACTAAAAAAATCTGATTTTATTTCCTATCAAATAGGAACTTAAATTTTGTCCATTTTATTACCTCTCATCTCCCGTTGCAACCGAAGTCTAAAGAGAGGAATGAGGTTTCTCTTGCGATATAATTGGCCCTTAGTACGAGCTCAAATAATAGGCTATGGTAGAACTTGTCCCTCGTAATTGCATGTTGTGTGAGAGCTAAATGAATAATATCATGTACTTAACCGTGTATGGCTTTGAAACGTGGATCGTTCAAAGTACGTTAGTATGGTTTACCTCTCGTGCTTAAACTAGGATTTGATATCAAACATTTCCTCAAGAGGACAGATGGAGCAATGCAAGTGAGATTTAATGTAAATTTAAATTGTTATTCACTTGTTATATATAGACGATACCGCAGTTCCTCTATTCTTGAAAATCTATACCTCTAAGCACAAGTTTAAGTTTTACCTCAACAGAATTCTCCTAAATTTATTTCTTTGAATAAATCTTCCTTCGCTTTATGATCAAAGAATTTTATTCTTGAAAATTATTTTATCCGTTCTCTTATTTTTTTTTCTGAAAAGTGACGTTGAAGTCGAGTTTTCTTATTATTCCGTGAAAGACATTAATTCTTACTTTTCATATCCAAAGGAAGGAAGAAAGGTATCATAATTTTTAGAAAGTTTTATACTAATATTATTTTATTATTAAACATGTAAGAGGTTTTACGTTGTCTACTTGTAGTTTTTCAAGATATATGTACAACCAATTAAAGATATAAAGAGCATAGATAAAAATACACAAAGTGCTCCATTTGTTTAATTTAATATCCAATTAATAAGTGTATTAATTTTGCTTAAAAGCAATGAGAGGCCCCCATGGCCATGGGTAATAGGGTCCAGCGTCGACTTTGGATCTAAAAGGGTATTGTGATGGGCCAAATCCTGCCCGCTCCACAATATTTAACTGTTATTGGCATCAAAATGGAGGGGCCCACCGACCAAAAACATGAATTCGTAGGACCACACCCAAAGTAAGTGGGCCCCCAAACAAGTGTCATCATATATGTCTACTTTTTCTTTTTTTTGTTTTAGTCAATAATCAAACGTTGGCTTACTTTTGATTCCACATGCATTTCTAAACTCACATTATTCCTTCACTTGTGCTTCTTCTTCATTTTTGTTGAGTGCATCCGGCACCCACCCCACCAATTCTTTTTTTAAAACTAGTGAGAGCACGTGCCATGATATAGTTGACTGTGTAATAGCGTGGTAGGGTTGGTTCAGTGATTTTTAAGGCCTGAAGCGAACCTTATAAATTAGGCCCCCGAAATTTTTTTCCCTTTGATCCATATGTAGTCATGCTCATGGCCAGTGCGATCTTTAACTAAAGTACGTTAACTTTATAAGTCATAACATACTTGGAAATCGAACCTACGTAGAAATGTGGGTTCATGTTCGAGCCTTGGGGCAATGCGAACTGCCCTCTTGTACCTCAACAATCAGGTGAGAAAGAGTAGGAGAAAGAAAATACACTTATCAATCAATTACTCCCTAAAAATTGATGACTAAGAGATAACAAAACCATTAGAATTATAAACTTATGTAAACATCAATCATATAGTATAAAAAGTCTACACACATCTAAATGATATTGAAATCAAATTAGATCAATTAAAATGTCATACAATTTGTAAATTCTGATTTAAGTGGAAAAAAAACACCAGAAACGAAAGATATATGAAGGCAAAGAAAATCAATACAAAAAAATTCAACAAAATACTTTGGAACATATTTCAAAATCTCAGATTATATAAGGTAAATAATAACAAAAATTCAAATATTTAGATACACACACAAAAAAAATAATTTGAAATCAAATTAGATTAATAATAATCACCAAAAAAATGAAAGAAATATGAGTTAGAGAAAAACAATGAAAAAATCCAAGAAAAAAATAGAAAAATATTTTCAAATTCGGGTAAATAATTTAAAAAGATTTGAAATGTAAGATTTTTTCAACGTAATAGTGATTTTTAGGCCTCTACCTAAACTTTGAGATTTCCCGATCTTATTTATATTTTAGTAATAAAATTAAAATATTTAATCTAAAAGTTTACGTTGTAACCATCAAATAAATAAATAAATAAATAGAAATTGAAATATGAATAATACCAGCAATAGATTTGAATTTCGAAAACATAAAACTACTTTAAATTTCATGTAGTTGAACAGTTGAACTCAACTTAGTAAAGAAAACCTTGAAGATCTTTTGGAACAAATCTCATGGTGTTGTTTAGAGAATTAAAAGAAGAAACAAAAGGATATGATTTAGGGCTTAGTTTTTCACTTTTTTTTTTTGCAAAAAATCGAGGCCCTCCCTAATTTTGGGCCTGAGGCGAGGGCGTCACTCCCTCGACCCAAAACTGGGCCTGAGCGTAAGTATTAAAAAAAATATTTATGTCAAACATTAGTTACATAAAATTTTCTTATAAGTTACTAAATGTTTCGAGACAACATTAAATGTGGAGATGAAAAAAATCACACCCACGGTTATCGAAGAAATCGAGACACACCTTCCACCACAGCCCCTAGTTATCGAAAAATGTCTTCTTACGAATCTCCGATAGAACAGTCATTGCCAATTACTTCATAAACCCCTAATCAATTTTTAAGCAAAAGAACAAGTAAAAAACTCAAAATAAATAACTAATAAATCAAAAGAAATTGAAAAAAACTAATCAAACATTTTTATATTTTAATAATCGACAATATATTTATTATTATCACATTTTAAATTTTTTTAAAATTTTTGAAATCAATTTAAATGGATATTCATATCGTGAAATATCGAATCAAACGAAAAATTATAGGAAAATAAAGTTTGAAAAAATGACATTAGAATGAGATTGGGATTGAAAAGAAACATAAACAATCACGACTTTACGTTTCACAATTAATATAAAATTATTTTGATATTTAAAATTTATCGATCATATATTTATTATGGCCGCACTTCAACGTTTCCAACAAATTTTAAATCGCTTAAAACGAATATCTGTAATTTAAAATACTAAATCAAACGTAAACGTATAAAAAAAAGCCAAGCCGAGCCGAGCCGAGCCAAAAGGTTTGACTCACGGCTGGTGAACAGTAAAGGCAAATTGTCTCTTTTAGTTATGTGTAGAAAAGTAAACGTTTATTGTTTTGGTTTTAAATATATTTGAATATTTTACTTTTTTCAGTTTTAGGTAAAAAAAAAAAAAAAGGTTACTTATTTACTTATTTTTAATTTTATTTAACAGATATTTATCAACCTTTTAAACTAAGCCAATTACTAGACATACTCAACAATCCTTCCATAAAGATAAACTAAAAATTAAATTTTGAGGTGAATCTTAATTAATTCTTGACAAAACAAACAAAATTTTAACTTCATTTTCTACAATGTATCTACTCCATAAAGACAGCATGGGAATCTTATGTAATTTGGAACATACAGAATGGTGGGTGTGTCCCTTTCCTTACTCTCTTATTCTCAGTTGCTGTCACGGTTCTAACACGTCTGGACAAAAGTTAAGCCTCGACAAATCAAGAATCCAGCCAGTGCCAAAACCAAACCAGCACCCACCCAGGACAACTTGAAAACCCCGCAAAATGCAAGCTCGAAAAGGGGGATTTTGAGCAGGTACTTGTCGTCTCTATCCTATCGTGTCAATAACCAAAATACAGATATACAAAACATGAACATAACCTCAATTACAACACTTGTACAGTCATACTATTCAATTCAATGTTTCCATGGACACGGAGCATATCAAATAAATTTTTTTGTCGATTCATTCATAGTAATGCTATCCATTAGTCGTGCTGATAGGCAGCAGTGTATGTGGCAGTGAACATTATCCAACTAAGGTGGACAATGTCTATTTTTAGTCATTGGACCCCACAGCCAAATTGACTGCTATTCATTACGAATAGGATTATTCCTTCATTAATCCTCAAGAACAAGGAACTTGCTACAGCTACAGCACTTTAGAACAATAAACAGGACAGTATCGTATCATAGGTTTAATCACATTTCACAATCAACATCAATTTCATTTTCATTGTTCAATTTACTATCTTTACAACTAGAGATGGGTATGCATTTCAAGCTGAAAAATCAATTATTGTGCCTTACCACACTGCTTCACTCATTCCAAGCGTACCAAGATTAACTAAGCCGGGTAACTTACGTACTGTGTGTGCAACTTCATTATAGTAGACCCGTGCTTCCAAACGGATTAGTAGTTTGAGGGTGCCCAGCAGGATTGACAGGAAATGCTCCAAACCCTGTATCACCGAAAGGATTTTGTGGGGTCATCAATAAATGGTGTTGCTGTTGGGGCTGTGGATAAATAGGTTGGAGTGGGGCAAAAGGATTTGTTTGATTATGAGCCATTTGAACTGCTGGAGGAGGAGCAACAGTGTTAGACATAGCAAATGGATCTGCAACTTCAAATGGATTAGGCGCAGGTACTCCATATGCTGGTTGCTGGGATGCTCTATATGCAGCATCATCATACAAACTATGCAGTGTAAGTGAATCCAGTCCACCAGCCTGCAAAGCAAAAATTCCAGAAAGCACAAAATGTAAGCTGTGAACTTTAAAGTGCATATTTGGTACGCACTATTAGATTTTACTCGACATAACAATCGACAACATTTCAGCTCCTTTTTCTTATTTAATATTGTTAGTTGTCGTCTAATCTACACTAGCCAAGACATGCCACAAGTGTTTATGGAGAGAATCAAATAAAGAAACCATCATGGCAATGGTCCTAAGTATGTTTACGAAATATATTCCTTGTAATGAAAGTACAAAAACACAAACACGAAGATGAGAGAAACACGATGCAGAGAGAATGATATGAATATTTAGCATAACAATCATAACAAAAGACCTACCAATTGCCTCTCCTGAAATGAAGACAAGTCATTGCTCGGAGTGCTGACCAGCGCAAGTTCCCATCCAGTAGGATCAAAGTCTTTGGCTTGCGAAGCATCAGAACCAAATGTAGTACCTGTAGCATAAAGATATTAAATAATTCCCCTTTAAAGTACGATGAATAAATTTGATAATAAGCAAATAAGTTAAAAGAAAAGAGCACACAAGAAATCCTAACCAGATGGAACTATTGCTAAAGCCATTGCATTGCTGTCCTCGATAGCAGATGCATCAGGTGCAGTGACATTCAACCCCTGGATTATTTAAACACAGTAAACGAGTGCAGTTGACGGAAGAAAAATGCAGATATCAATTTTCCAGTTCCAAAAAGGATATGAAATGGTACGAGAATACAACAAGAACAAAGAAACTTACCAGTAGATCATCAGTGTCCAAGTTAGTTGGAGGGTGTGGAGGACCAACAGCCTCAGCGGTTGAGACAGCAACAGCAACATTTTCTGAAGGTGCTGGCTTGGGTTCCTCATGCATCACTTTTGTCTCTTCAGAAGGTGAAGGAACATCGTCTTGTTTATAAGTCAACTGAAGCATTTCAGGATATTCCTGATATAAGACAAGCATAGATGAGGATCAAAAGTGTCTTTTTAATTACATAGTCCAATTGGAGAAATCAGATGCAAATAGTGGAGACGTTATACAAAGGCTGGCAAATAATGTTGCCATTGAATTAAATAACTAACCAAGGACATAATCGGAACAGAAACCATTCGTGGTGCTTCTCTTATATACTCCTCCATGGTAACTAGAAAGGACTGTGGAGGCTAGAAAGGAAAAGGAGGAACAATTAATAAGGTGTCACCTGGATAGCAACATAAATATTAATACAAGCCCAAGGCTCCAAATCTTCTGTGATCTACTTACCTCTCTCAACACAGGGAATTGGAAATTTCTAGCAAGTTCAAGGCCTTTGCACACTTCATAGAAACCAGAAAGACTACCAGCCTGCAGTAAAAGCATAAACATTTTAATAACACCCTAAAGAAAGTCAAGAGTCCATTACGGATAAACTTTGAAGAACTTCAGAAAATATAATCACTGTAATTGAAGAAAGATTCATAATGTGTCCTGCACAGCAAAAAACTACCAGCTGCCCAGCTCTTTTGTAGATATCAAGAGCCTTGACTGCTTCATGTCTTGGCATCTCAAAAAACTGAAATGGAAATCAGTAGAAGTGAGAAAAAGAACAGTTTATTATTGATTAAGCTAATAGCAGATACCACAGCATATTAATGGTCAATTCACCTTGTCGACAAGATTAATAATCCCATCATTAATAGCACAATAAATTTTGAAGCTCTCTTTGAGTACCTGAAAAACACATATAATGGCCAGGAAATGTATGTCATTTTCAGCCGTATCTTAAATCAACCATGCCATGGAAAATGAACTCCTTCAATCGCCAATACAACGCTCAACCAATATACCGGAAAGATGTATTCTCATAATATCAAATTTCTCTAAAGGGGAAAAGTATGTTGTTAATTTTCTTACTGCAGCGAGGAAAGGCATAGGAGTGGGCACAATGGAACATTCCTTATGCGCCTCGGTCAGTGGAAACTTCATTATTTTACCAGCACCGTCTTTATCTTCATCCACTAATCATACGCACCAAGGCATTCAGTTTTGTTTTTAATTTTATAATTTACCCTTTCCCATGAAGATTATTAAATTTCACTAGAAACACACAATTCCATACGAGTATACAACTTAGTAATGGATGGTAAGGAGAACACAAACCAGGGCAAGGGCATACTGAATCACATAATTTCCCAAAGCTGCTCCTTCAGGCTGTAAATTCATAATGGTTAATTAAAAATCAGTTTTCCCAAATTATTGTCAATAAAGAGATTCAGATATTATCACATTAGGGTTATGGAAATGAACAAAAATATGAAAATGGTTTTTCTGAAGGAGGATAATTATCAAGATTGAAGAAGTACCTGACATCCAATAAGACGATGCAACTGCTGCTGCAAAGTAGACAATTGCTCCAACAGTTCTTCACTGTTCAACTCTCTAGTTCTGCTGTAAATCTAATAACAAAGAAGCCCAAAAAATCTCAAGCTTAGAAGTGAAAAAATCATGAAAGGTGATTTTAAGCTCAAAATATCATACTTAACAACATTCCCTTTTCACATTAATTAGCCTCCATTTGGGAAGAATTTATAAAAGGTTTAATTTATAAATGGATAGAAATGAGTGTCATATAAGTGAATAGTACTTATGGGTCTATTGGAATGTCGAGTTGAAAACAAAGTTTGACCATTTATAAATGATTTTGTATTTTTTGCAAAATAGAAGCTTAAACTTGAAACAACATAATAAATACAAACATCTATTTTGAGATTCTCAAGCAAAAGCTTCGAGTAGGATGGAATGTAAATTCAGGAAACAGTCCACTGGCCTAAGACATCTTAACAGCTACTCCAAAAGTTTTAGGGACTCAAAATTCCCCGTTCTCCAAAATATCAGCTTTAAATTTACTGAACTTAATAGAAACAAACCAATTTTATAAATTTCTACAAGAGACGAGTATATTAATCAGTTCATACATAACATACACGTTACACATCAATGCAATCATAATACAAAAATAAACACCTAAAAAATTTTGCTGTCAAAATAATATGCACCTTATCTTCTCCTTGTGCAGGTCTTGGAAGACGCTCAGATTCAATGTCGTACTTCAGTATCCTAAAGCATTCAAGTCGTTCTTCCAAGTAGAGTGCATATGTCCGTACCCAGGCAGAGTAATCCCAAGCTGGAAAAAGAAAGTAGATTTACATTATCCTGATCCTAATATCAATAGGTAGTTAGTTGCTTTTGCATTTTTCCTTTTTTGTGCATGTTGGGGGGGTTAATGTTTATTTGTTTTGAGTATGGTGGCATTTATAAAAAGGCAAGGATGTAAAAAATGACAAGTGCGTTCTCACTTACCAATGGGGCTTGAATCATCCTTGAAATTCGACATATCGAGAATGTGCACTCTCTGCTGGAAATGCAGAAGTTCCTCCCTAAATGTCGGATCACCTTCTCGCAATGTTCTATGGATAACTATTAGCGTCTTTAAAGCAACCTGTTGAAAAATTGAAGAAGACAACAGTGCTCACATCAAGTTATTTGCTGAATTAAATTTAGAAAATTCAACATTCAGAAAGGAAGCAACAACCACTAAAATGCAATAGTGAAACTAAAACTCCGTTAAGCAGAATCCATACCGTCCAGTTATGTGTCTTGGCCAACCGTCTTGCAAGCGCATGTATACAGTATGCAACATCAGCCCGTGGTCGAATTGCTGACGTGGCAACAAAAATTTCTGCAAGAAACGCCCAAACATAAATAACAGGGTCACATTTCACTCATTATCACCATACTACTTAAAATTTCCTTTCAAGAAGAAAACGCTCGATTTCCCCTGAAAAACGAAACTCAAATCGCAAACTCATACAGATTCCCAAAAAACAAGAATTTATAAAATTCCAAGTTCAAAAAAACAATAATTACAAGTAGAAAATTCACATATTTCCTAAACTATAAGGAAAAATCTAAAAATTATTTTTTCCTTTAGAATTTGAAAACCAAAATCCAGAAAGATTTACGGATTTTCCAAACAACATAGAAACTTAAATAGAAAAAAAAATCCACTACAGGAAACCACCCAAAAACTCCATTATACAATTCATATATTCTACACCTAAATTTTAAAAGTAAAGAAATAAACAGAGAGAAAGAAAACTCACTTCTGAGGTGTCTATCTTTGGGCGGACACTCGACATGATTCGTAGCTTTGACGATCGCCACATCAACATCCTATTTCAAGCCACCCAAATTGACCAAAAAAATCGAAAATAAAATAAAATTAACTTAGTCATAAAATTTCGCAACTTCATTCTTGATGTTTTCAATTTCTTTTGGTTTGCAGAATCAAAAGCATCCTATATATAAATACGTATGCACATAGAGAGAAAGACGGACGACCTTGTAATCGGAATTGACATGGGCAAGTCCAACCTTGGTGCTATCTTTGATAGCACCGTATGCTTTTCTCCATGTATGTAGCGACCCCATTTGCCCTCTTTACACCGTCCAGATCGCTTCTTTTTCTTCTTCCCACTATTTATCTTAAAAATCGGAACCCTAAATTTTCTCAATTTTCTCTTTCTGCCGCCTTTGAGAGAGAGAAAATGGGTTGTTACTGTTCGTTTCTGAGGGAGAAAATGGCGTTTGATGCTTTCGGTCGCGTGGCTTTTCGCGGACCCTTTCGGTCTGTCATGATGATGACGCTGACGTGTATTATATAGCTTTTCAGACTTTACTTTATGTGAGTATATTAATTGTAAATGAACATTAATGATAGGTCCTCAATCTTTGTCAAATATAGAAAATTAGTCCTTATTCTTTTTTTAATCATTAAAGTTATCAACCCCAACCACTTTTTCTAAAAGTTATAAATAGTACGACAAAATAAAATCATTTGTCACTCAAGATCACTCAATTCGAAATTCCCTTATGAAATAGGTCCGCTATCATAATAATTCAAATGATGCTCAAGATTAACTTACAGTAAGTAACAGTCGTAATTTAGTTCGACTAAGAGATCTTTATCGAGTGTAGGTATCTCTGAATAATATGTCATCATAAATGAAATATAAATCCCTACTTTTAAGATTATCTAATCAAGGTGTGTTTGAGCCACATTATTTTAGAATAATGTATTTTGAAATAATAGATTGATGGAAAATGTTTAGTTAAAAAAGAAAGAAAAGTTATTGACATGATGGAAAACATTATTTTATTAAAGAATGTGTGATTGACAATGACTAGAAGAATGAGAATGAGAATTTTAATATATCTCAAACAGGGACTCAATTGTTAATATTAAAAATGACACCTACCAAAGAATATCTCATTTCATTATTATTTGTTCATACATGTAATTCAGTGTCACAATTTCTAGAAAAATTGAAAAATATGCATTGGTCAAATGTGGATGGTTTTACAACACGCGGTTTCTATACCAACTCACCTCACGTGGTCTAATATTGTAACACGTTACGTTTATTCTTAAATTATATGAATGACTTGTTAGTGGAATGAGTTCATACGAGAGCGCCATAGAGATTTTATATGGACGGTTATCTCGGTATCAGCTGATTATCTATATATAACGATTGTGCAACTTATCATTAAACTTGAAATCATTATGGAATCTTACGCGTGGATCGTCAAATTTTGATGGTATTAAATGTGACTCTTTCAGAATTGTTAATACAATACTAAATGGAAAATGGTGGGAATCACATTAAGATTGATGAACGATCAACAAGGGATTTATCACTTTTAAATACTAAGAGAGACTATGTCGTCACATTTCATAGACTTAGACATCGATTCTAGAATTCTTCAATGAGAGTAAGGAAAAGCACAAGCAGCTCGAGTTTTTACGCCATGTCACCGCTAATTGAAGTGGCTAGAAGTCCTATAAAGGGTTCATTTCCATCAGCAAGGTCTGCAATTCTCACTGCTTGATTCCGACTATAAACTAGGTTCACCATTTTCTCTCCTTCGGTAGAAAACCAGCTCGTAAATCCTCAGTATTGATCAAAATGTGCAACATCACTATTTAGCATCATCATATCCTAAATCAAACCAACTTTAACTGGAATCAAGTTGAACTCGTTAGTTTAGTCCATTCTAATAATTCTGAAATTAAAATGTCCAGTCTTATTTATTTTGTTATAATTACGTTATATGATTTTATTAAAAATTATACCATTTTTATTTCTTGAATAAAGGAAAAGAAAGAGAGAAATTTGTATTGAAAATCAAAGAGATTAGCGTATTGGATTGGCTAAGTATCAGTCAGATATGAAGCCCTCGTTCATCCCCCGAGTCTCTGGCTTTGGCTTTGCATTCTCTCTTTCCTTCACACCATTCAACAAATCCTTCTCTCTTTATTTCTTGTAAGCAAAATCAATCCCAAAATTTCGATTCCAACCAGGTTTTGTATTATCTTTTTTAGACATTTGTTTTCAAATTCTCAAAAACTGTCATGAATTTTCACTCGAGAATCATTAAGAAATTTCTGCATTAAGCAGTGAGGTTTGGCTATTTAAGTTGGGACAATTTTAGCAAATATGAGAAACTGATGTTTGTTCATTTAATCTTCCAAGTCACTGATTGTAGGACTCAACTTTTTTGAGTAAAGGTCGTAGAGCCTTTTTTCTGTAAGCCCTATTTGATCTACATTATTATTTTATTAAAATGAAAAATATGACCGTTATCCATCACATCAAAATTTAAATTTAAATTTTGTATCTCTTATGTGGACCCCAATAATGACTATATTTTTCATTCTCATTCTACAATAATTTGCCTCAAACAGGGTAAATGAAGAAGATCTTATGTGGGTTTTGATTCAGTATGGAATTTCTGCTTTCTCGTACTTGATTCTCGCTCCATGAGTAAAACTCGGCATTCAATACTTTATCTTAACTTGTTTGAGTAGTTGATTATAAAGTGAACAGAACAACAGTTTTGATTTATGAAGTTGGGGATGCATGTACAATTCATTTTTGTTTTTATGTTCTATCCAGGGTAAAAGTTGGTGCCTAGCTTTTTTACTTGGTTCATATTGTATTGCTATGGGCATCATTTCTCAACTTCAGGAAGTTTCAAACATGGAGTACCGTTGTTGGTCTACACCACAAAATCCTTCACGAATTAAAGGCGGATTCTTCAAGTACTCTTGGCCTCAACCTCAAGACTATGAATAAGTTTTATCAAACTCCCAACTCATAAACTACCACTGCCAATTATGTAAAATTACTGATACAAACATTTGCTGTTTGAGAGAACGATAACATGGAAGATCGGAGAGTTAAACTTCATGCTCAAATTTGGTCACAAATGTCGGGAACATAAATCACATCCAAATTCACTAAAAGAGCATCTGATGATTATTTGAGATATTTTATCATAAGTTACGGAATGTGTTATCCTTTCTGAATAGTCATTCATTACACCAACACAAAAATACATGTATCCATGTGCTCATTTTGCCGAAACTGAAGAAGAAAGTATGAAATAACTCAAAAGGATTATCCAACCCTAAGCCAAAAAGAAAATTAAGGAAAAAAATAGAACGAAATAAGTTCCAGATGATGAACTGAACTCGCTTCTTTAAAACAGTGATTAACTTCCAACTATATTCTACTTGGAGTAATTCCATTGTGACTCACTATTACACAAAGACCTAGCTCTTCTGCCAATTTATTTTGGGCGAATATAATTAATTTTCCCATGTAAAGTATCAAAAAACCAATGTCACAAATACCTCAGATTGAAATTTGCTCAGAACATCTGCTTGGCATTGAACAAAAGCAAAAACTTGTTCCAATCCCATTCCTTTATGCTTGGAGACATCACAGCAGCTCCCACGGCCAATACCATGGTGAAGGCCACAGTTTTCACACAACTGTAACCACGTGATAGCCTTCCTAATATTACCTTGCAGTATTTATCTGCATCCTTGTAGAAAGCTTGGCGAGCAACATCCACCCCACCATTTAGTGCTTTCTCATTCTGTTGGCAGAGACCATTGAAAGTAATCCAGTTTAATGAATTATAAGCTTATACCACAGGTCCATATAAAATGCAAGATGGTAAAGGAAGTTCAAAGCCATTATTCTGTACACGTCTTTAAACTACTAGCCTAGTCGTGACAATTTACAAAGTATAAGAAAAATACATAAGCCACTCACCTTTTCTCTGAAACTCTTTAGACTTGCCCTAAGTGCTTCAAGAGAAGACTGTTTTGCAGAAAGCTCCTTCCATTCCTCAGCAAGCTTCCTCAAGGCAACAGCACTGGCCTCTATGTTATCCATATAAATATTGTCCTGTTCAAATCAAATTTTATAGCATCACAAACTAGATTTAGAATACAGTCTCACTAGAAAAGCAAAGCGAGATTGAAATTTAGAAGGTAAATTGCACACATATTGACCAAAGTAGCAAGGCATGAAGATCGCCCTTTAAGCGTCTTCTTAAGCAAAGAGAAACTGACATTGGTAATTTTTTTTCCGCGTTATTCACTTATTCAACCCCCTCTAGGTGATTTTAGGGTCGAACTCAAACTTTCACAGTTCAACCATATTACTGTAGTAGGACATTCCAGAATCTAAGTATTATTATTGTTGAAAAGAGTACAAACTTAAGCTTACCCACTGCTTGTAGCAATCAGGATTCTGAGTCAAACACCAAAGAAATATGCCATTTGCTTCACGGGATAGCTCCGGGTTCCCTGCAAAGCACAATCTGTCAAACTCACTAATCACTATGAACTTTAGACTTACTAACTAAATATTTTCAGATGATATTTGATGATACAGTGTCGATTTTGATTTTGATCTAACCTTCTCCAGCTGCTTTAACAGCTAAAGTCTGTATCTGCTGCGAGACTTGCCTCATTGCCTTGCTTCCAGGAGTACCAGCAAGAGCAACCTCTTTAAGAGTTGGATAAATAGCCTCAAACCTTTCAGTTGCCTGAAATATGTAGCACAAGAGATCGTTGAAGATGCTTGAGCAGAAACAGGTACAAAAGGAGAACAAAACCAAAGAGAATAGTAGCCGCCACTGTTCGTAGAAGCCCCTATTAAGTAGTAACTCCTACCTTGACCCGCGCAGAAGATTCAGGGAAGGTTACATGTAGCAGTAAGTCAAGCGCGGCAGGTGGCATCAAGCGCTCTCCCTTTCTAACAGCACCATTTATTAATACAGTATGAGCTTTTGGTGCAGACAAAATTCTGATACAGGGAAAAGTAAGTTTATCAATTAATGGAACAAATGTAAAACACAAAGGGAGTATGACTGTCTTGAGTGTTAGAAAGAGAAGCAAATATTTCAAACCTTTCCACTAGCTGCAAAACCAAATCCCTGGACTGAGGATTAGACCCTGATTTGCCTCCAAGTATAGGCAAAATATGATGTGACCACAAATACAATCCTATAGCAAGATCTCCTTGACAGGCCTGCACGTAAAGGATCAACTTCAACTTTGACTACAAATTCACGACAACCAAAGAAATCCAAGAGTACCACAGATGTTAAAGTGGCCTAGTTATGCAGTCACCTGAACTATCATCCACAACATAACTGGAAGCTTATCTTGTCCTTGATACTTTGAGTTTTCCCTCAATCTAGACAATAGACTGATTAGAACATCAGGTTTCCGCCGTAACACCATTGCTAAGACTAAAAAGATGGCAACCTGTAAATGAACAATAAGTACTGTATATCATAAGTTAAGGTACAAATATTTAAATTGATCAAACAGTACAGCATAATAATACTGGATTGAAAGTGAGATGTGTGGACAAATTAATAAATCAACTAATGGGATACAATGATATATGGCCAGAGAGTAAAAAAAAAAATTGTCAGTTTCGACTTAACGGTGCACCAACTTGAACTTTCCCGAGAAGGATAAAACCAGATCGTGTAGGGGAAGGCAGTTGACTTTTGTTATCTGTTGCCTATGCGTGAAACGGTGAAAGTGGTCATTCTAGTAGTACTGAAAAATTTATGATCCTAAAGCAAATCCATTCAGCTGCAGATTACAATTCTAAATAAATCACCAAGATGAATACCCTGTAAATTTATCTAAACAACTGTGTCTCAAAATTTTATAACGGATAGACATGCTATTAATCAAAATCTTTTTATCTCAAGAAAGACCATTCCACCAAAAACATTTTCAAAATCAACAATCCAATCCATTCTCATACCATGTCATCTAAACTCACAATTTTGCCAATTATATTATCTTGGTAAAGTGGTCCTCATGAAGTTCTCTCGTCAATTTAGTAAGTTACTAATAAATTACTGCAAAAATCGCAAATTTGCAATCCTAGAAAATGGAAAAACTGACGGACAGTTAAGAAATTGCTCATCGAACCAGTTTTTAACAAAAACTCACAGCAATGGAAGGGCAAGAGGAGATAGATTACTATAAGATTGAGGAGAAATTCCTCAAATTCACTAGATAAGAGAGAGATGGGGGATTTAGCTGATGTGCAAACAAAAATATATGCAACAAGCTTATGCAGGGAAGACAAAAAGTTCATATATTAGCGCCAGCATTTACAATTTTGAAAGAAAAGGAAAGGGAAATCAGGCAAGGAAAAGGGTTAACTTATTCAAGCAACTAAGTGAAATACCCAAAGGTTCCCAACATTTTGAAAGGAAAAAAAATATATCACTGGTTCTATGCTCCCCAATAAACTGAGAATTGCATGGCAAAATGTTATAGGCAATGCAGAAAAGGGAGGTGCAGAAAAATGTTCAGAGAAATAAAATCAGAATTCCGTCATTTCATATTTTCCACGTCATTGCCTCAAACACGTTTCAAATAATCCACAAAAATGCATTAAAACATAAGCCCACACATGCATCCACCATCAATATTGAACTTGATTGTCCTGGTAAAGACGTAATTGAATGCTGAAAGTAAAAGACACCATGCAATATTAAGTTGGGGAAAGAAACAACATATATATGATAGTCATCTACCTGAGACTTTGAAGATGTTGGCTGCCCTCCTTTCTTTGAGCTCTTAGACCCTGTCTGCTGGTGTGCCAAGTCGGCAAGAATGCTATCCAATGACCACAACACGAAGGACCCAAGAGCTTCATAGGAATGTTGGCTGATCCAGTCAACAGAAATCTTGTAAACAGCTTCAGAAATATAAGAGACAGGTACCTAGTTGTTGGAAATCAGCAAATTAGAACCCAAGAATTTTATATTATTAAAAGAAAGCCATGTCAAACCTAAACTTTCATGCTAAATGATGCAAGTGCAAAAGTCTCAGATCCCCAAAATATATTATCCAGAACCCCTTGGATGATACGTCAAAAGGACTTAAAAGTGCATATTAGTAGAATAAGGTACTATAGGTAGTGTCAGGATAACTGGGAAAAGAAAAAGAAATACTAGATATTTAGCTATTTAAACTTCATACGTATTTGGTTAGTTGGACATTAACACTTCCCTGCATTTATTGTCCCACAAGAAAACATAGAAGTCTTGCTATAGAATCTTGTGGATAAACAGGGTTATGGGAAAGTTCTAGCTAGCATTTCCTTCTTGCATGTGCTTTTGGCATTCATAAATGTTTCACAATCGTTGGCAAAAATTGAAGTTTCCATATTCTATATACCCAAAATTAATGTAAACAATGCTTATACAAAGATCGAATGTGCTTTAAAGAAAAAGAAGAAATAAAATAATTACAACCACAATGAACTAACTACAGAAAGAAACAAAATTAAAAGTGGTAGCAACTATCAAGTATTGTGGTGATATCAAATCATGGTGATAACATTTCACATTTTTATAGGAAAGTGAAATCCAATACTGAAAGAGAAAGCTAGGAGCAGAGAATTAACAAATAAATAAAAAATTCAAACTCCAGGATGTATTGCAAGAATCACAAGAAGAAAATATATCACGATCTCATGGGCTTCAATGTCATGCACAGAAATACAATTTAAAAATTATATGAACACAAAACTAGAATAAACTCGTCAAAAAGAATGCAACTTTTTAAGTGCATACAGCCAATACATAATCTGAGTCATGATCTTGCGGATCAGCTATTTGCATATAACATTAAAATCAAAGTTTCGCAAAGCTGTACCGTTGGCAAAACACTCCATTGATTTGAACTTGTCAGCGAATAATAAAACAAAAATACAAAATTTAACAACCCATAATCATCTTTTCAATCATCAACTACTCCCTACCCTCTGAAACAAAAATCAGAATTTATGGACAATGTTTCTGAATACCTGGCAACATGCTAATAAATGCACAGATATTTATGCACACACATTCCTATTATTGTTTCTGAAATTACTAGTTAATAGATCTCAAAAACAAACACTACAAAAAAAAAACCAGTAGAGCAACTCACATCCGCAATTTTAGACAATGCGGACTCCCTGAACAACTTCAGCCACGGAAACTGCGACGCACTGACTGCAGAAAATGCACGCCCGAAATAATCAGCAAACCTCATCAATTGTATATCCTGCTGCCCTTCATACGATCCCTATCAACAGAACACCAACAACTTGCAAATCAAATCAAAATTCAACAAAAACATACACAAATCATAACATAGTAATAAATCGAGATATAAAAAACTCACCGACACGTGGGATAGAAAAGCCGCAAGATCAGAAGAATCAAGCTTCGCAGCTGCCTCCGCCACGGTGACCTTAGGCTTCTTCTCCTTCTTTGGCTTTTCTTTCTTTTTCACCTCTGCAGCATTATTCCCCTTGACATTACCATCAACATCACTTGTATCATCGTCATTCTCATCATCTCCCCACTTCTTCTTCGATCTGACCGGAACATCGTCCTCGTCGTCATAAATCGCGGCAGCACGTTGCGACTCCAATTTTCTGCGTCGCTCCTCCGCGTGCTTCTCCAGATTCTTGAAAACGCCGTTCTTCTCCGAGGATCCATTGGATACAGCCCTGGAAGGATCAGAATTGGGTTTTTCGGGTTGATTTTTGCGCTGTTTTTTGGCATAAGTGACCTTTTGCCATCCATGGTTGTTTTCCTCGGAAAATGATTTGTCTTGTTCCATTGTAGGAAGGAAAACGAAAATAAAGGGAGGGAGGGAAAAAGATTTTCAGATGGAAAATGACTAACGAGAGTGATCGGAGAAGAAAAAGGAGGCGCGTTAGGAGGGGAGTAAATATAGGCGGCTCTCTCTGTCTCACGTTTGGTAAGCAAGTGGGAATTACGAGAATGCCATGGTTGAAAAATGTAAGCAACGTATTGCGACTGAGCAATGCTATAGATTGCGAATTGCATATTGATAACGTTATCCAGTGCATGTTTGGCAAAATTTATAGATTAGTCCAACCATTATTTCTCAATTTGTTTTCATACTCATTTTTAACTATACATTTTTACAATACAATATTCTTCAAGTAAATATAAATTTTTTTATTTATTTTTTAACCCCACATTCTCTCAAAATTTACTATTCAAAAATTCACTCTTTTCAAAAAAAAATCTATCGAACAAGGGGGCTTACTTATTTTTACTAACTTATTATTCATGCATTTTGTATGTCTCGTAACGTAATTTTAATAAAAGTTTTGTCAAACATTTTCTTGAAATTAATGTTATTCATCCTTATTGGGGTTTACAAACACGATTTAGCTGACGATATAAGTCATTTAATTTCACCTTTTATTTAACCTATCATTTGGAATCACCTAAACTGTGTTTGTAATCCCACTGGAGATGAATAACATTACTCTTTTCTTAATTGACACTTAAATCATGGAACATCAACCGTCTTCTTCAACTACGATTTTGATAAATTTAAAAAAAATTAAATATTCTAATGAATTTCGTGGAGTTGAACAGATTTCTACAAAATTCATAAGAATCTCATTAAAATTTGTGAAATTTAAAATAGGGTTTGTTGCATGTAATTTTAGGTTTAAAATTTATCAAAATCTATATAAATTCATAAGTAATCAAGTACACCTAAAATTTAATGGATTCCATTAAAATCTCAATTAACATCTAAATTTAGTAAAACTTTAAAATCCATCAAAATTTCAATCGAGGACCCTCTGTAAATAAATAGCATTAATAAATATAATATGTTTTCAATGGTATTTAGCACGAGTAACCAGTGGTATTAAATGAAATATTCAATTAAATTTAAGGATGTAGGGTCCATTTAGTTGAACTCATTATGTTACAACTGGCATAACTGGCATCAACATTGAAAATTTAAAGATTAAGAAATAAGCAATCGAATCTGTTGAACCAAGTTATTGAAAAATAATTAATAATATTTTATTATATTTAGGGTTTATTTGAGCCTCGTTATTTTTAAAAAATGTATTTTGAAATAGTAAATTGATAGAGAATGTGCGGTTGAAAAATAAGAAAGAGTTACTGTTGTGATGAAAAATATTATTTTATTAAAAAATGTGTGGTTGAAAAATGAAAATGAAAATTTTAACGTGTACCAAACAGAAAAAAGGGTTCAGCATACCATTGTATGGGCATGGTCCTTTCCATTTACTATCTTATCTCAACTTGATTGATGAATGGACAGTCAACAGATCTAAAATCAAATCTATCACAATAGTCATAAGACAACTGTTGACCGAGAAAGTCAGTCCATTTATGATTTGTAAATTTAATCAGTTAAATATTATTTTTTTTTCTACTATTCGTCTTGTTCACACATTTTGTCGGCTCCATTAGTATTTCTCCTTACAAATTGATATGCAAATTTGCCTGAAGCCTAAAGGAGGCTAAGTTTCTTTCAGGGCATTTGTTTTATATATTGCGGTAGTGTATATATCTATCTATTCTATCTCTATCTTAAAAGAGGGATTTTGAGAAAATACTATTCATTTGTGTTTTCTTCTCACAATTTACTGTTACATATACGAACAAAAAAATGACAATTTTAATGTTTTTCGCAAATCACAATTATTGACTATTGACTAAGGGAAAGTGATGGTCTTTTTAATATCCAAGGTCATTTGCATTCCACTTAACCATGTTTCACACTATAAAATTATCTGGTTTGGCTGAGTGGACAATTCTCCCACCACAAAATCCACCTCTATTTTTATTGTTCAACTTTCCCTCTCGAATACCTATCCCACTCTTAGATCTCGACAATAACAAAGAAGACCCATTCCACTCTCATATCTTCAAACTCGACTCGAAGTTTCGATGGACGGAATTTCCCATCTTCGTGCTTGTCCACTGTTAATTTCCTATGGGTTTTTTTTCATCCGCGAGCATTTGACAAAGCAAAGGGTGATCCACCTGAAGCACTTCCTTTTATCCTAAAGTTCCAAGATTGGATTCGTTATGGTAAGTTACGGTCAATTTAAGGTAAATATTCATTTTTTTCTCCTTCCATAAAAATTGTTTAAATCTCAAAATTTGCGAATGGCGTCTTCAATAATAAATTAGTTGTTCAAGATATTGGTTGTTCATTGTTTGGATGAATCATTTTCCTCATTATTCAAGATACTGAAAATTGACATCTATTTCAATTGTTGTCAAAGGTTCGTCTGAATAAATAGATACACATTTTTGCCATGAAGAGAAAGGGAAAAGTCGGAAAGGAGAAAAGTAATACAAAGAAATAAGAATTCGGAAACATATAACCGACAAGGCAAAATAAGAGAAAATTTGAAAACCATAATGTCAATAGAGCCTTACTATAAGTTGGAAAAAAAAATGTGTTGATTTATTGATCCTAAAGGAATGAGGATGTCTGGATTGCAATGCGCAGTTGATGACCCTTTTTCTTAAAATAAATTGATAGATGAATGTGGTCGGGAGAAGCTGAGTGTAAGTTTAGGGAAGGATCTCTTTATGTTTCCAATAACTAGCCCTTCTATAGTGCCTTAACATTATTATTTTATACACAAAAAAAGAGTAGGGTTATCCATAATGACTCTTACAAATATTTTTATAATTAAAATTCAACGAAAAAGAGAAAGAGAAGATACTCAATTACAACTGCTATTGCTTGTATGGATATATTATCAAAGTTTCAATTGTTATAACAAAAAAATTGCCTTTGAAGGATAAACGTTACTAATGTTATGGAAGTCAGGTTAACTTGTATGTGTTAATTTTTTTCCACTGTGGCAAACTGAGTGTTGACCCCAAAAAATGTTGTCAACAGATGTCGGGCCCACTCTTGCCACGTCAAGCAATAATCTGGCACGTTCCTATCGGAACAAGAGCGGTAACGTAGTTGGAAAGGACGTGGGAGTTGCTTTTCGGCAAGAAACACAACTGTTCAAACTCCGGCAATTTTCTTGGTGCAGCCCTTGCACTATCAACAAGGGCCGGATCGACTTTCTTTAAATGAGTGCCTGTTTTGTTATGGAATATGTGAAAGGATAGATAAAATCCAATGATGTTTTATGTTGGAATCTTGATATATTTGCTATGGTGTTTGTGAAATATCTAAAGAACAAAATATGTGAATCTTCTTCAATATCTGCTTTTCACGAGAATGATGGTATTTTGTGTTTTGTTGTTTGATTTTCAAGATCCAACCCCCTAAATCTATACAAATGAAGACTATTTATACTGTCCAAACGACGTATTGACCGTCGGATCAGATCCACATGGCGACATCTTCTAAACTGAACTCTCACATCACATTTAATATTTGATAGAAGTCAGCTGCACTAGGAATAGGCTGACATTACCATGGAAGAGTTACTGACACCTTTACAGCAGACGTCACATCAATCGATTCAAAGAAATCCTCGAATCTGTTGAGGTGACGCTGGCTTATGGGTTTCGAATGACCTTGTAGTAGCCTCGGATCGCGTTGTGTTTTGAGTGAGTGCATCAGTCCGAGGTCGTTCACATGGGACCTTCAACCTAAGGCTCCTTGGAATGAAGCCCATGCTATCTCCAGGGGAGCCTTCATATCATGTTGGTGGCACATGACTTCGGCCTAATGCATTACTGGGGTTTTTTGACATACTGGGCCCCCTTTGACTTTCTGTTGACCGTCGTGCCTACGTGGCCTTGTTCCTTTAAACCCCGGAATCGGGGGGTAACACTGAGTACTATTATTAATTGTTTTATTCTTTCATTCACTAAGATAAGAATTTTTGCTTCCATTAAATTATAGGTGAAGATTTTCTTGCGATTGATTCTTTGGATATGTCTGCTAATCAAGAATTCGATTTTCGTAACGTTGAAAGTACTTCCGAAGTCGAAGTGAATCATATGTGGCCTCCATTCGCCAACAACAAAATCGGAGACAGGCAAATAGGAAGAAACAAATTCAAACTCCATGCATTGATCGTCGTAAAAGGATAAATAATTATATGTTATTTGAAAATAATAATTTAGGTGCTTCCTATGCTCATGAATCTACAATCAATGAATACGTATTACAAGGAAGTTTTAACCTATCGAACATAGCAATCAATGCATACGTATTACTGACATGCACCTATTGTGAACATTGTGGTGCACGGAAATTTTGTAGAGAAACTAAAGGATTTCGTTGTTCCGATGGAAATGTTAAACTTTCTATGCCTAATTTACCGACCGAATTGTATGATATATTTACATCTAATGAACCTACATGTATGGAATTCAAAAAACTTTCACGCGGATATAATATTCATTTTGCGTTCACTGCGTTTGGTATAAAATACGATAAAGAACTTTTTAAAGCATACAAAGGTATTTATACATTTAGAGTTCAAAGACATGTGTATCATTATGTAAATCAACTTATACCAAGAAATATTATGCATTCTTATGTGCTATATTTTTACGACACAGACAATGAAGTTGAAAATCGTATGAAAATCTCAAAAAAAAATTGTTGAACCTACTTTGATTAGTTTAATGGAAATCCTTAAAATAAATCCATATAATAGATTCATTAGGTCTTCTAACATGGACTAAATCATGTACTAAATCATCAAATGGGTTTTAGCCTTTTAGGGCCTAAACCCTAAATACTTTATGGGAACAATACATAAATAAGGTATTTAAGTATCACAATTTCAAAATTAAGGATAGATATTTTAAATTTCAAAAATC